TTGTACGAGCCTATTTTCGGTCATTCTGAGATATAATTGTAGAGTGAATTGATCACGTTTCTACAGTATGACATAAACAAAGGTTTTAACCTTAAAGACCCTTTCACTGAACATCAAAACACCAAAACCAGAATCTGAGTTGAGTTACTGAATATGTTATGATTTATGTAATAAACATTTAACTGATCGCCATTCATTCCTTAATCACCCATGGTTGAATGTGACAAAAGAAAAAGATTTCAATAATACTTGTGTAAGTGATCCAAACCTGAACTTAAACGTTGGATTAATTAAACAAGATAGCTAGTTTCAAAAGTCAGTATGTATTAGTATAAAATGTTATCAGCTCATAGAATGAAGCTCATTTAGGTTGATGTTTTCATGTATCCCTGGCTCAAATAACCCAACTCAATCGCAAAGAAGATACCTATTCTCAAGAAAGAGATCTAATAGACTCGTCCGATTCACTGACATCATGCACCTATGCGCACAGTCTAGGTTGAGATCAAATTACAGATGAATGCCATTGATAGATGAATGTTCTTGGTCGAGATTCGACTCAGTTATTTGAGGTTTATATATGAGCATCAGTGAGTTTGTGTACATTTTGGATTTAGTATTCTTATTCCTATCTTGACTTCTCACTCAAGTAGCAGGTATGATTCACATATAGGAAATGTGTATATCAGCATTGGAAGACCACTCAATGTCACATTGAATGAAGTACTTTCAGTTTAGTTATGTTAGGGAAATAAACTGATAATATTAATATAACCGGAAGAGCTCTAATCTATGTTACATTGACACAAACAACAACTCGAAGCATCTCAGAAGATAGTAGTAAAAACGATGGCGCATATTAATTTATTTAGGCTGAGTACTAGGAGTTTAACGTTAAACACTTGGTTTTGAAGATTTAGGGTCACAGTTAAGTGTTTGAATCAGTTGTTCAACGTTAGGGTTTGGGTCAGGATCACTGGTGTCAGGGTGGAATTTAAGCATACGGTTGGTTTGTGTACAAAATATCAAGTTAGTGACTTTTATTGTAAATTATAGAAAAATAAAGTTATGAGAACTGATAAGTCGTGTAGGTTGAACGCTATATACGATTCCTAAGCTGTTCCCGTAACCCGCAGACTAGAACTACACAGCGACTTGAACTCCAGAGAGAAGACACAAGTATGAGAGAAAACACTTTATCCCAAGGTTCATTTTAGTAAAGAAAATCAAGGGTATTTATAGATGTTGGCGTCTGTTAAATCAACATCTTATTTCAGCCAATCCGTTAACGTCATATTATGCTACCGACCAATGGTAGCATGCCACGCTGGAATTCTCGAACGTTCCATCATACTCTGATTGGCTGGGACCCCTCGGCTCCTTTTTGGGCCTCTGGAGGCTCCGTTGAAGTTCTCCGGGAGCCGACCCAACAAGAACCTTTAGTGATTAAATACTTTAGTGAATTCACATTTTATTCACCACTTGAGTATTTTAAGAGTTACATAATAACGGAGTTTATTAAACTTACAGGCTCATTTTTCAATAAAAAAACTATGGGAAAGATTGTATTGTTTACCAAAATGCATAAATTAAAAATAATCAAGTGGCTTTTATTCATTCGTTTACTCAGCCTACAATTGGCCGGTATCTTTGTGCTATCGTTTATGAGAAACTGTTTAGTAATATACATCGCCAATCTTTCTTGTTAACTGTAATTAATTTGAGTTTTGTTCTTACATTGATTTCACAAAAGATTCATCAAGTTCTAAGCCTTTGAAGATTCCTCAATATCTTTGAACTTAATATGTTCAAATGAGTTTGACCTACTATAGTCAAATCGATGGTCATAATTATTGCATAATGCTGAAATCATTAGCTCCGTACCATATAGTTAGGTATCCAACTATTGTCCATTGAAAGTATGTAATTATTGTTAGCCTTAAGGTCCTACATAGCGGTATTAACCAAAAATTAAGTTAACTTTGTTATAGACATTAGATATTTCTTCCTTAATGAAAACAGATTCACTAATTTCTTCATTGTTATAACAAAACAATCAATCGATAAAACTCTTGGCTAGGTATAGTAAACAAGTAGACATTCTATTAAAGGATAAAACAGTATATATATATATATATATTGGTCATTAATACAAAAATGAATTAAACTTCACCCCATTGTACGAGCTGGTGGTTATCTGGACTCAATAACTAAGTGGATAATGTGCCGACGTTTGGAGCGAACGATACTGGGTTCAAGTCCCGGAGTGAACATCGACTTAGATACAAGTACATCTAGCTGACGACTTCTAAAATAGGACGAAACATGCGTCCTAGATTCCACTGCTAGCCACCGTCATCTCAGTTTATAATGCTTGTGACTTAAGTCAATGTCGAGATGGTCCACACAGGATGTACACATACCAATAAGAGGCCGATTAATTGCAGTCTTAAACATCAATGAGAAGATTCAAACAACCAATTCAAAAATGAAATAAACGTTTTTCTTTAGAGACAATGTATTTACAACAAAATAGTATAGATATGAGTAAAACAACCCATAACAAATAGATATTCTTAGACTGAAAGGGCATAATATAACCAGTAAAGTTATATGTTTGTGTGTATTGAACTATTAATGATATTTCACAGTGATTTTGAATATTTTTGCACTGCAAAGACTTAGAGTAAGATATGGAAATCAAAGTGATATTAAACTATGTAAATTTTTCCGTTGAAACTTCTGTTGTGGTAGTATTATAAGATTGGACGTATATGTCCCCTATGTCCGTTAGATGCAGTCACTGATGCGTAGATTTTAGGAGCTACATTAGATAAACTGTATTTTGAATAAAATGGACAAAGAAAGGGTGGAATTCCTACAACTGAAGAACATCTGGAATTCAAAATGACTATCAGCCAACAACAAAGCCAGAATCTTCAATACTAATGTCAAGACAGTTCTACTGTACGCAGCTGTAATTTGATGAACTACTACAGACATCCTCAGAAAGGTACAGGTGTTCATAAACAGCTTTATATGTAAGATCCCATTGATCCGTTGACCCGATGCCCTCAGCAACAACCTGTTGTGGGAGAGAACAAACCAATTTCCAGTTGAAGAGGAAATTAGGAAAAACCTTTGGAGGTAGGTAGGTGGATAGGACATGTATTGAGTAATTCAGTGAACTGTATTACGAAGCAAGCCGTAAATCGGAATCCTCAGGGTGAAAGGTAAAGAGGCAGACTAAAGGACGAATTTCACAGGGAGTTGGAGGGATAAATCAAAAGGATGAATATGAATTGAGAACAACTGGAAAAAACACCCCAGAATAGAGTTGATGGTTTGAGATTTTCGCTTAGTGGTCTATGCTCCACAGGAGGTAACAAGAATAAGTAAGTAAGTATGAAAGTAAAATATTGGTTTTATGGATTACTCATCATCCAGTAACGGGGGGGGGTGTAAATAACCAGGTCACATAATTACCTCCATCGCAATTACAATATTCCCCACCATTCTTTTATAACTTGACATTGATAACTGTCTAGAAAAATATTTAATAAACTTAATATTTATTCTAGCACAACTGTCAAGAATAACAAACTTAATACATATCTAACTTAGAGACCATGATGTTATCGAATTTTCCATTTACTTGTTTTTACAAAGAAATAAACTACAGATAACTAAATGTAATCAACTGTTTAAAAAAGTCATTATCTCTATGTTAATTTACATTTATTGGTCACAAAACGTGACTTATGGTTAACTCCACACATATCATAATGAATTTTTTTCCATAACAAAAAACCCATATTATCCAGAACTTTAATTAATATAACCAATGCATAATATGTTTATCTGTTGAGTAATCAAGCGCATATTAGTTTGTCTGTTTAAAATTATGTTGGTTATATCATGAAAGTATAATGACATCAGAAGGGGTTTTGTGGAGATTTTAATAATTTCAATAGTTTAAATCATGAGTTAATTTAAGCAAGACCACCATGGAAAACCTGGAAGCACTGGATGGCCGTTTCATTCTAGTATGGGACTCGTCAGAAATGAGAAGCCGTGACCAGTGAAGTTCAATCAGGTCTGTTGTGAGATATCAACTCACTGAAGACAATGGCGTAAGGTGGTGCAATTTCGTGGATTGGTTGAAGTTGGACATTAACCCCGTTGGATGTCAACTCAGTGGTCTACTGGTTAAGCGTTCGTGTGCGATACTGATAAGTCCTGTGCTCGAATCTCGCGGGGGGCGGCGTGATCGTGAATGCGCACTGCTGAGGAGTCCCATACTGAGACGAAACGGTCATCCAGTGCCTCCAGGTTTTCTGTGATGGCCTAGCTTCAACTGACTCATGATTTCAACTATTAATATTCTTTTACATTGTGACAGCTGGCTAAATGAAATCATTCTTTTACGTAACGAAATATTTGTTTATTACAATAAAGAAAGAAGAGAGTAACTATAAACTGTTCGTCTTTTAACTATTATTATTACTATTTCAAACGTATTTTATACAGATTGGTTTAATTAAGAGGATGTGTTTGTTATCGATTGATTTCATGGACCTGAAGGTTTTGATATTTATCCCTGTTTAAAGTGTGTGGGACATGTGTGTGGAACAAAGTGAAACACATATCTACTACTTCCTGATTTTTAATGGTACCCAGAAAAGATAAATCTTTGACAAGGATCATATACACATTGAACCAAACTTCACAAAACTTTTTCCACTAAATCTATATTTGTAATTTAAAATGAACACATCAATTTGATATTTCATGGTGGTCAGTGAATAGTTAGATCAAAATAATACAGTGATATTACTATTCCTTTCTCATTTACAGAAGTTATCCAACTTTATTATGAATAGAAATTTTCACGAATTATTTGATTGATGTAAATAATACTTTCAATGGAGAATTCCTTCCAAATCCGTTTCCAACTAAACATTCATACACAATGTCAAAAAATGAAAACCTGTTCCACTTCAAGTCAAATTTGCTTGATTTTCACAATCAGTGTGACACAATGATTGATGATAAATCGATAAAGTCATTAATTGTAAAATAACATTTATCAATAGACAGTAGAATAAGTCATTCATCATTAACGAAGATGATGATGATGATGATGATGATGATGATGATGATGATGATGATGATGATGATGATGATGATGATGATGATGATGATGATGATGATGATGATGATGATGATGATGATGATGATGATGATGATGATGATGATGATGATGATGATGATGATGATGATGATGATGATGATGATGATGATGATGATGATGATGATGATGATGATGATGATGATGATGATGATGATGATGATGATGATGATGATGATGATGATGATGATGATGATGATGATGATGATGATGATGATGATGATGATGATGATGATGATGATGATGATGATGATGATGATGATGATGATGATGATGATGATGATGATGATGATGATGATGATGATGATGATGATGATGATGATGATGATGATGATGATGATGATGATGATGATGATGATGATGATGATGATGATGATGATGATGATGATGATGATGATGATGATGATGATGATGATGATGATGATGATGATGATGATGATGATGATGATGATGATGATGATGATGATGATGATGATGATGATGATGATGATGATGATGATGAGGATGATGATGATGATGATGATGATGATGATGATGATGATGATGATGATGATGATGATGATGATGATGATGATGATGATGATGATGATGATGATGATGATGATGATGATGATGATGATGATGATGATGATGATGATGATGATGATGATGATGATGATGATGATGATGATGATGATGTTATCAAGTCAATCAAGTACATCGTATTACGTAAATGAATAGCTTACTATTTGTTCAATAACTACCTTATTTTGTACGTCAATATTCGTAATTTATAACCGTTGCACTTGTAGGTGACTGTTTTGACCCAGTAACTAAGTGGATAATACATTGATGTTTGCAAGGAAATATATACTGATTACAAACCTGTTTAAACATCAACATTGATTGGATTTCAGTTGACGTATCCTAAATAGGACGAATGATGTATCACGAATAATCTTATTAGCCATTATCTAATCGTGCTTAAAAAGATACATAATTTCACCTGGATTCAAAATCTGTTTATACATATATGATTTCATGGTTAGAATGCACGAGATTGATAATGATCATGATTGTTTTGAATCATTTAAGTTGAAATAGAATATTTTGAAAATCTTAGAAAAATCAATCCCATTGAAATCATGAAAGAATAATTTCTGTTGGCAAAATTTTCTGAAAAAAATGATTTTTTTCTGATGTCATTAAGTTTAGCTAAACATGAAATTCTTTTGTTGAAAATAATAATAACATCAAATTCTGAATAGTTGAGATCATAAATCAATTGAAGCTAGACCACCATGGAAAACCTGGAAGCACATCAACACCGTTGGGTGCCGACTCAGCGGTCTAAAAATTAAGCGTTCGCACGCGAGACCGATAGGCCCTGGTTTCGAGCCTTGCGAGGGGTGGAATCGTAAATGCCCACTGTTGACGAGTCCCACAATAGGATGAAACAGCCGTCCAGTTCTTTAAGGTCTTCCATGGTGATCTAGCTTCAATTGACTAATGACCTCAACTATTAAAATTACTATAATATCCACAAAACCCCTTCTGAAATTCTGAATAAATTATCTTCAAAGTGATGTAGTATAATTCAATCCTATTTTTATAGATCAAAGGAAAAAATTATTATATCACATAATGAGATTGGTATGAATAATGACCTAATTGTAATTCGACTGGTTTCTAAGTCAACCATTGGAGGTCCTGGGTTTGATCCACAGTGGTGTAATCATGGATATCCACTTCTCAATCTTATCTTAGAATATAACATCTATCCTCTCAGTTCTCATAGTTTTTTTCTGTAGTAGTCTGCCTAAAACCAGTTCCTGATTATTATTCAGGCAAAATTGTGAAAGTCACAGTATGGCTACTGATCTAAACATCATATTTTATAATCAATTTTATTTAAGATAAAGATTATGCATTCTTATGTTGCTCAGTGATCCCAATAGTCATTAGTAGATTTTGTATGGTGTATTAATGCAAATTAGGATTAGTCACTAAATTAGATACTATTTCTGTTCAATTAACTAACTGAACAGTTTAGTTAACAATAAAATGCCGTTCATGTTAGCGCTTACCACCAAATAAAATCTATAACTTCAAAAGAACCTCATATTTTACATCATATTCGCCTTTTTTAAACAAACCTGGATACTTAATGAAAATGATATTTGTAGAATAGAAGAAAATTATATTTTATTCACTTGGTGTTGTTTTACTTGTATCTTTCCATTGTTATTTAGGACTGCACTTGATCAGTTTCTTGTTGACATATGTGCATCCTGTGCGGATTGCATCGATATAGTCTTAAGTCACAAGCTTGTTAAGCAAAGATGGATAGTTGCTAGTAGCGGAATCCAGTTTGACGCGCGTTTCGTTCTATTTGGGACTCGTCATATGGATGTACCTGCATCTCAGAGTTGATGTTCACTTCAGGACTCGAACCCGCTACTATTTGCTTCAAACGCCATCGCGTTATCCACTTAGCTACTGAGCCCTGATTATTATTTATTTCTTTGAATTCTCACATACATATGATATAGTAAGACAATGTTCTTAACAAATACAATCTAATCACTGTTAATTATAGTGTACATTAACTAAATATTGAAGTATACTTGAAGTGAACGAACAGTTAGGCGAGGGCAATTAATTTATTGTTTAATACAAAATTACAGAATGTCTTCGTAAAATATGAGAACAATACATTAAATACTTCATTTGCAAATCTTTTATCAACCGTGCTTCACATTCTATATGATTCTTCCGATTCATAATTCTTTTCTATTCCCTTTTCTGTTTTCCTCAGCTCAATAGTCTTAGCCTTCTGTCAGGTTTTCCATCTCTGACAGGTGTTACATATTACTTACGTCTATACACATAAGTAACATACGGCGCGTACTCAAAGACGATATTAAGATCTTCCTGAAATAAAAAATAACTTGAGCATTTAATTTATATAGTGAGAACATCGAATATTAATGTAGATTCGATATGGTTATAATACATATATATAGTGTTACTTGTAGTGTACTGAATAGTGAGGATTTAAGTAATCAGTGCAGATGCTTTGATAGACTTGTCTAAACTATCTGCAGTACAATAACTTAAATACCGTTGAAAAATTTCGTCACAAATTTCAATGCAGTCGCATATTTAAGACCACATAAAGGCTTCCAAAGAAATATACTTGGTACGATTTTTTGAATTAACAAACTTGGCCAAAGCGTGAACAACTAACGTAGCAGAATTAACACGTATTCAATTTATTTCGTAGATTTTCTTCGGCTTCTGACAACCCAAAACATAATGGTATTCATCATTTGAAAACAGTGTATATACTTTATATCATAATACTACTGAAGTTCTCACCAATGAAGACTAGTAAAAAGAACAAGAAGTGAGAACTATAAGTATAGAATTATAAGATGTTTTACAGTTATAAGGATGGATTTCTCTATTGAACATCCTCCTATGGTGTGTGCTACTGATGTCGACAGATATAAGTAGTATGTATCATCAATTTAGAGTGAAATGCATGGCAGCAGAATGTTGAGAAGATTGAAGAAAAGAGAACGAGAATAGAGGGTGATTGATATGGATATGAAGTAACAATGAAGTCTGAGACGACTGACTGATATTTTGCAAATGAAGTATTTACTGTATGGTTCTCAGATTTGACTAGGTGATTCTGCAATTTTTTGTTCAATTATATTTGGTTATCCCCACTGGTGTTGTCGTTCACTACACTCCGGCTATAAGATAGAAGAACTGACATTCAAACTCAAGATATTCATTGTTTTAATTTTTCAAAATGTAGATAATTTTTAATTCCTTTCTTTTCAGATTGTAAATTTCTTCATCATATTACGTAATGAAACAGGTCAAGAATTAAGCCCAATATAGCCCTATTAATGAGTGGATAACATATACTTGCCAGATTTTCTAATCATTTTCATGTTAGATTATTTATATTCATGCTTATTCTTATGTTTATCATCTACATAAGTGTGTTACTCTGTTAGGAGAAAAAACCTATTCTACTAGATAATATTCTTATCTTTTGTGTCAAATCAACTACAATGCTTACATTATAACAATCGGAACTAATGAATAGCCATTATTCAGTCATTTCTTATTATTACATAACGTCTATTGATTAGCTTTAGATTCATTCACTAAACAATCTGTGAACCTGTTCATAAAATTCACACCATAACATTAACATTAATCTTAATTTCTAAAAAAGAATGAAAAACTGTCCAATTCAGAAACATGATTTCATTGCATAACAATAAATTACTTTCTCATTAAATAGCAAATAATGTTGTAACTAACGCAAAAAAACATGGAAATTGTTTGCTTTTTTTGCTGTTCAAATAATTAATGAATTTTTTGCACTAAAACATACTTGAAAATGAAGTTGGACACAGGTATTTGCAAGTGAGTAAATTCTTGTATTAGTTGTTTGAATCTTCTCACTAATTTTTAGGACTGCAATCAATCAGCCTCTTATTGGTATATGTATATCCTGTACAGATTGCCTAATTATGGTCTTAAGTCACAGGCATTACAAGTAGTAGCTAAGTGAATAAGGTTATGGCATTTGAGGTGAACGGCACTTGGTTCGAGTCCTGAAAAGAACATCAACTTTGGGATGCAAGTACATTCAGTTGACGAGTCCCAAATAGAACGAAACGCGTATCCTAAATTCCACTGCTAGCAACCATCCATCTCTGCTTAGATTGTAAATAAGGGAACATTTTTTTCGATGAAAAATAAACAACTTTATCTCTTTTTGTTAATGTAACTATTTCAGCATTTTGTTAGTTAGAACTATTAAATATACATAAATTATATTGTACGCTTGTGTACTATGAATTATTTGATATTTCTAACAGTAAGTTTGTAATATCATAGCGTAAATTCATTCTAATTGACTATAAGCAAATTATACACATGAAATATATGCTTACCTTCAGGTTGATATAGTAAACATTATAAATTTTCAATCACTAAAACTCTGTAAATAGTATAAATACAGAGTATTCAGAAGAAAATTTGAAACAAAAAAAGGGTTTTGTGGATATTGTAGTAGTTTAATAGTTGGATTCATGAGTCGATGTAAGCTAGACTACCATTGAAAATCTGGAAGATAATGGTGGACGGTGGCCTAATTTCCTAGATTGGTTGTAGTCAGACATTAACACCGTTAGATACCTGCTTAGTGGTCTACAGGTTAAGCGTTCGCGTGTGAGACAGATGATCCTGTAAGTCAAGTCCCGCGAGCGGGACTCGTAACTGAACTTCTCAAATGGAAATAAATTTAACTATATACTTCAAGAACTAGCCTAATAATATATACGAAGTTGGAAGGTCGTTTATACTTGGAGTCAGAGAAAATTCTTTCTGAACTATATAATAGAAAATCAATTAGTATTACCACTTTATGTTCTTATAAGTTGTAATGAAATACACTTCAGTTATCATTGGTATTCAACCCCCTTTGGATGAGTGCAAAGTTGATCGTCTATTTAATCTTTAGAATAGTATTCGTTTTTAAAAAAATAGAATTACATTAACACCGACTGTTCAAAAATGTCATATGATTATAATCCGTCAAGCTTCAAAGTGTTTTTTAATGTATTGATCAAAGTAACAGTTATCTGATTCATCATAGTTCATTACTTCTTAAAACCCTACATATGAGAC